TATAAGAGAGTCTCGTTCTTGAGTGTACTTGTGTTCTTAGACACGTTGAGAGATAGTATCTCTCTCGGTTGATTCAAAGGAAGGTCTGTTTCCTTTGAAGGATTCGTTGAGGTTCGTGTGACTCGAACTCTCAAGTTGTAACGGTTTGTTAAGCACCCGTAAGCTTAACAAGTTAGTAGTGTAGCTCGAGAGAGTCTCTTGGGAGGCTGGATTAGCCACAAGTTGTGGTGAACCAGGGTAAAATTCGGTGTACCTTTTACTCTTCTCTTTACTTCTCTCTTAATTTTTTAATTCCTACGATTTCTCCGATCAAACGCTATTCACCCCCCCCTCTAGCGTTGGTCTATTATTCTAACAATTGGTATCAGAGCCTTACTCGCGTCCAAACTTAACCGTTTGAGAGTAAAGCGATCATGGGTTCTTCTTCTAGAAATCTTTATGCAGGAATTGGAGAAGGTCAATCAACCTCTAGGCCACCGCTCTTTGATGGCACCAACTACACATATTGGAAAGAGCGGATGAGAATTTATATTCGCTCAACCAACTTTCAGTTGTGGTTGGTCATCAAGAATGGCGAGGAAACTCCGATGAAGAAGGTCGATGAAAAACTCGTCCCAAAGACCGAGGACGAATTTGATGCCGAAGACATCAAAAAGGTGGAGAACTACGCCAAGGCAATCAACATGTTGTACTGCGCGGTCAACCCAGATGATTATCGCAAGATCTCTTGCTGCACCACTGCCAAAGAAATGTGGGACAAGCTAGAGGTCACATATGAAGGTACGGACCAAGTTCGGGAAGCCAAAATTGACTTCCTAACGCAGGAGTACGAGATGTTCAGGATGAAGGAAGGCGAAAAGATCGATGACATGTTCGATCGGTTCTCAAAAATCATCAACGACCTTCACGCTCTCAAGAAGACGTACGCCAACAAGGATCTCGTGAGGAAAATCCTGCGGAGCCTCACACCCGAATGGAGATCAAAGGCTGACGCAATCTACGAATCCATCGGAGTCTCCAATGTCACCATCGACGGGCTAAGAGGTAACCTCAAAACTTATGAATCCACTATTCTAACCCCGTCTCTGGATGAACAAAAGAAGAAGGGAATAGCACTGAAAGCAACCAAGGAGACCGTGGAAGATGACTCAAGCGATGATGACAACGAGTTCGGACTCGTCATCAAGAAGTTCCACAAATTCATGAAGAAAGAATTTGAAAGGAAAGGAAGAAAGCACGACGGGCCCCCGAAGTGCTATGGTTGTGGTGAGATAGGCTACATCAAGCCAAGGTGTCCAAAAAGCAAAGGCGGCAAGGACAAACCTGGCTTCAAAAAGCAACGCGCCTACATCTCTTGGGGAGGCGACTCCGGGGATGAGTCAACGGATCACGAAGAGGAGGAAGCCGCCAACCTCTGTCTCATGGCGCACGAAGATCAAACCGACGACGTTCAAGAGGTATGTACCATTTCTTCCAACTCTTATTCTTTTGAAGAAATGCAAGAAGCACTTCATGAGCTTTATGACGAATTTGTTAGCGCTTCTAAAACCAATAAATCATTAAAGAAACGCC